TGGCAGAGGGGAGATCCAGACTAGACATCAGGAGGCGCGACTTCACTGTCAGGGCGGCTAGGATCTGGAACCAACTTCCAAGCGAAGTGGTGCTGGCTCCTACCTTGGGGGTCTTTAAGACAAGGCTAGACAATCACCTTGCTGGGGTTGTTTGACCCCAGTACTCTTTCCTGCCACGGCAGGGGGTCGGACTTGATGATCTGCTCGGGTCCCTTCTGACCCTGCTAACTATGAAACTATGAGACAGGAACCCAAGTGGAGTTAGGCGCTTGGCTACACGAGGGAAATCCCAACCTCTTTAGATGCCTTTGATAATCAGGACCTGAGGGTAATTCATCTCTTCCCAAGAGCAACCTTCCCAAGAGCAAGTCAGCATTAGCATGCTTGGAGATGGGGAAAATGAGGCACAGAAAAGTGAGGTGTCTTGCCCAGGGTCCCAGAGCAAGGCAGTAACAGAGACATGGACAGACAGCATTGCACCCAGTGCTTAACCCTGAGCTCCCTGCACTAGATTGCAGCAGGGTCTTGCAGATGAGAGGCTGCAACTGCTTTTGGATTGAGGGCTCGCATCCTTCCCCAGCTGCCATCAATGGTGCTGCACTGATTTGAACAAGCAGAAGAGCTGCCCCAGAGAGCTGTGGGTCAGTGATACCTGTGCAGCACCATATCCAAGGGGATGAGCCCGTCATACAAAATACGCCCCCAAAATGGCCTGAGTTTTGGGCTGCTGAACAGCTGCTGCGCTGGCCAGAGCCTGTTTTGTTGTGACCTCTCAGCCCTCTTGGACAGCAGAGCCACGGTATCTGTGCACCTTCCACCCAAACCAACTTGCCAGTAGCCAAGTCCCTAAGGAATTTCTTGGGGTTCCCTTGGCAAGTTATCAGTAGCTCTGGTTGGGGCAGGTTTTCCTGGGTAATAGGTTGAGGTGATGGTGGGAAAGCTTTACCAAAGGAGAAGGTTTTGCAGCACTATTCTTAAGGGCAGGAAGTGTCGGGATTAGAGGCTGGGAATAGAAGGGGGGCTCACTTCGGGTACATGGAGCGGCCTTGGTCCCGGGGAGGCTTTCCATTGCTTTCAGCAGGCTTCAGAGTCAAGCCCGCTCTATAAAAACACAGTGATCATGACTTCCCTTGGAAAAGAAAATGGGCATAGAGGCTGCCTTGGTCTTGGGACCCAGAGCTCAGAGCCCACCTGCAGGCTTTCAAATCCAGCCAATGTTCCTGTGCTTGTAGGCAAACCAGAAAAAAGCTTCAGGGCTTTTAAGATAAGAGAAGACTGTTTGCAAGCAAGAGTTAAACACTGCAAGGGGCTTTTCCAGGGAGCTAGAAGAGGGAGCCAGCTGCGGCTCTTCAGAACAAGAGGGGGATGGCTTCATTAAACCCAGCTGAGCAAGCCTAGTTACCTTGATGGTTGCTGCAGCCTGCACCTGGGTCCTTCCTGCTAGTCGGCCAGTGTTAGCCCTCCCCTTGCCAGGCTCCGGAGAGAGTTGTATGGAGCTCAGGAGCCGTCCTGTGTTGCCTTAGGCAGCTGCTCACCTCCACGCTCCTCACTTGACATCTGAGCTAGGAGGGAGGTGGTCTTCATCCAGTCAGAGCAGGCCTGTGTTCACTAGGAAATTGCTGCACATCTGCAATAAGGCTGCTGCAGCATTTCCATTTCCATTGCTCAGACTGAAACCCCTCTTGGCTGCAAACCTGTGTGGTGCTGGGGCCCCCTGGACAGGACCACACGGCTCACTGACACAGCTCTGAGCTATTTCCTCTGAAACCTACTGACCGCACTTGGTAACATCAATGCTGGGGACTTGGACCAGTCCTCCTGGCAGAAATGTCCTTGTCTTGTCCTCAGTCAGCACGACTGAATACTGGAGGGCAATGCTTCTTAACCAGGGTGCCGCGACAACCTGGGGTGCCTTGAGACCTTTTCAGGGGGCCCTCAAGTTGCCACTCGTTGTTAACGCTGGTAGGTGTGCAAACATGATTCACAAGATAACCCCGAAGCTGAGTTCTTTGCAATAGGAGAATGGCTCTTATTTTTCCCTAGTTGCAAATGGAGTGGAAACTAAGAAGGGTGCATTGTCTAATCAGGGTCTAAGAAGTCTGACAACCACTTGTCTAGGGGCTTGGCATGGAAAAAGAGTTGTCGGATTTGACATTTTGGCACAACTGCCAGTCCCAGCACTGTCAGCCTGGCTGATAGCAAAGGAAACGGGGTTCGGGATGAGATGTGGTGGCAGTGGTTTGTGGGAGCCTTAGCAGTAGCTTGAGCCATCCTGTTCAGGATGAAAATACCTTTCCCGGAGAGGTTTGCATGACATCTGCCTGGAGCCAAGCCCTGGCTCTAGATTGCGCTCAGCCTTTTCCCTTAGGCTGAGAGCCTTGAGGAAATTCCCCCAGTGCAATCCATCAAGTTTAAAAAAAAAAAAAAAAAAGACATCTCTCATTTTGTTGAATCATTTAAAGGGAAAAACCCTCCAGCCCTTCAGGGATGGAGCTGCACAGTTGCTCGGTAGAAAGTAGGACACATCTCTTGCCCCATACCAGATAAAACATGACATTTACAGGATAGATGCGTCGGCCCGAAGAAGGGCGGCTTTGATTGAGTTGAAGTGTGAGTGTCGCCGCGCTCTCCAGAGGGAAATCAGCTCTTTGTAGAGCGGTGTAAGACGTGTGGAGCCCAGTAATGTAGTTTCCACAGGGTCATTGAGCCTGTGCTGGGCTTTAAACCAGCATCTATTCCCTCTGCAAAAACACTGAGCCATATTGGGGCTGGAAAGCATGAACCAATGGCAAAGCAGGGCTGTTTGCTTTCATGGTAAATATTTTATAAGCAGGGTGATCTAGTCCTTTTTATATTTGCAATTTGACTGGTCCCTGGGGAACCTGGGGGGTGAGTGCATGTGCTCAGTACTTGTATAGTTCTTGGACCATAAGAAACCAGGTTGGCAAAAGTGTTGCAGGATTTTGCTGGAGACTGGGAAGGAGCTGCAGAGGGCTAGATGTTGTACGCGCTGCTTAGGGCAGAGGGTGAAAACACAGCCCAGGTAAGCAGGCTTCAGTCTTATGCAAACTTCTGCTAACTGGTAAGGTATCCAGGTTGTAGCCGTATCGGTCTAGAGGAGAAAGCAATCTGAGCTTATGGTAGAGGTGGTCTCTTTGATTAGACCAGCAAGATTTTTGCAAAAAAATGCCTTTAATCGCAAGCTGTCGGGCACAAACACCCTTCGTCAGGCTTCGGGCACAAACACCCTTCATCAGGCATTGGAGAAAAGATTGTAAAAGTTCTCCTGGGTAGAAATGCAAGTTCATATTTCATAGGATTTCACAGAGGAGTCAATAGATGGAAAACTCCTCTGGGCTGGCAGGTCTTATCTGTTAAAGAGTCTCTCACCTCTCTTGTGAGGTTCTGTGATGATGCAAATTAGCCTGATGAAGGGTGTTTGCACCCGAAAGCTTGCAATTAAACAACTTTTTTTCCAAAAATTTGTTTGGTCTAATAAAAGAGATCACCTCTACCATGAGCCCAGACTGCTAACTGTTAACTAACTTACACTAGCTGATCCTGCATGTTAACAGGTCCAGGCCAGGCCTAGCGCTGTGCTGGATGCTGCGAGTAGCTGGAACTTTGTTGTAGCAGCAAGGGCAGAATTCGGACGCCCGTGTTTCAAAATCATGGATCTGCAGTCGCTTGTCCTGGGCACGTGTCCTGTTCAGGCTGGATGGGGCCAAGAGCTGGAGCAGCAGGGGTTAGGAACAAGTTGTTGGCTATCCAGCAGAGCTCTGCAGGAAAATCTTAAGCACCATCTCTCTGCTCCAGGCACCAACCCCTGGTGAATGCTAGACACCAAGGTGCTTTAACAGCCACCAACTTCCTTCTCCCCTCTGCAGAAACTTTTGTCCTGAATCCTGTTCCCACCAGGCATTCACCTCCCGTTCCTTCCCCTGGCTCGCTTGTCACCGCTTGCTTAGCGTTTTCATGCTGGAGGTGGAGGATGTACCGTGGATCTGTGCTGATGATATGATACATGGCCTGGGCAGCAGAAGCCAAACCACGCTGGCTTTTCCCTTCGTCAGATAGATGTTTCTATCGCAGGCCTGCCTTCCCAAACAAAACCGTTCCTGTGCAGGCAGTTGGTGCTTTGGAAAATAAGGTTTCTGAGCTCCTAGTTTTCATGACTTGCCGGGCAAATGAATGTTAAAGTTTCTCACTTGCCTTGTAAGGTATTTGCTGTAGAGGAGGGTTAGCAAGTGCCGTCATGGCGAGTCCTCTTCCTCAAATCATAGCATGATAGGAAATGAGGGTTGGCAGGGACCTCAGGAGGTCACATCTTGTCCAACCCCCTGCTCCAAGCAGGACCAGCCCCAACTAGATCATCTCAGTCAAGACTTTGTCGAGCTGGGCCTTAAAAACCTCCAAGGATGGAGAGTCCACCACCTCTCTGGGTAACCTGTTCCAGTGCTTCACCACCCTCCTAGTGAGAAAGTTTCCTAATATCCAGCCTAAACTGCAACTTGAACCCATTGCTCCTTGTTCAGTCATCTCATCTGCCCCCACTGAGAGCAGTCCAGCTCCATCCTCTTTGCAATTCCCCTGCAGGGAGTTGAAGGCTGCTATCAAATCCCCCCTCGGTTTTCCCTTCTCCAGACTAAAATAGCCTGCAGTCTGCCCTGATGCCACTTATCTAGCCTACGGGGCTGAAAGCTTGAGCACCACTGCTCTAAAGGTCCCATAGACATTGGAGGTGAGCCCAGCCCACAAGGTTCAGCTCCAGATCTGGATCCCAAGCCTCCCCGGCAGCTCCGAAACGAGTGGCCAAACACGGGGCTTTGCGTCAGGGCTGTCCCTCATACAAGCAGAAGCAGCAAGTCTAAGGGGAAGTTCGGAGAAGAGTTCAGCCTGAATAATTGCAGCCAGGGCTCCCTGGATTGTAGTCTTAGCTGATCATCACCCAAGAGAAGCAGGGCAGGTGTCACGCAGTTCTCGGAGGAGAGCTGCTCACTACAGAGGTGTCCGTCCAGCATCCCTGGAGTCGGCACTGAATCATCACTCACAGCACAGTGTCGAATCGCTGACCGCAATGCTTGTTGGTGGAGGGTCCAGAGCATGTCATCAGTAGGATGCCTTCGTGGTTTCTTAAAAACCAGTACAAGCACAAGCCTGGCATCCAGGCGACATCCTGAATTGGATGGTGACATTACAGTTCACGACACTATACTTGTTCTTTCCCAGTCCCAAAATTTGGGGGTACCCAAACAGCAGGAGTTGCCTCCTCATTGCCAAGCCTGTTAATGTGCTAAGATGTTCCTTAGTCTGTTTGAGGCCATCTTTTCGTGAGGGGTTTGTTCAGTGCCCCTAAACACTCTCACAATTATACCTGCTCCTGCATTATTTAATGCTTCGTTTCTCTGGTACCATCACCCAGGCATCCTGGTGGTAGCCAGGACCCACTATGCAGGGTGCTGGGCAGGCAAAGAACTGATGAGATGGTTCCTGCCCCAAAGAGATTACTCTTTGCCATGCTAATGCTCCCTTCCCTGGAGAGGGAGACGACATGAATTAGCTGAAAATTGCCGGGTGGAGCTAAAACCCAAAGGGGGATCACATAAACCAAAACTGACACCCCAATGGATGCAGAGAGTCTTCCAAGCTATTGCACAAAGGTTAAAAACAACTCATTGACCTGCCGGGCGTTTTCCTTCTTCCATCCCAGCCTGGCAAATATATATATATAAATTTTTTTTTGACAGCCATATCTGGAACAGGAATTGGCAGAAGGAGACATCATTAACACAGGAGCCCTGAGCAGCTGTTCAGCTGCAGTCCATTAGATTTATAAAGAAGGATTTATTTTAAATGCATGGAGCACATCAGCAGAAACAGATTAAGAAAAAAAAATTGAAGTATGAACATGGTCCAGCCCTTGAAGAGATGACTCATGGAGGGACGCCACTTTTTGACTTGCGTGGGACAAGGGGAAAGAGGGTAATGATCTTGGAGGAATGAGGAAGCCTGAGAGCAACTGCTAATTTAATTAGATTGAGACATATTAGCCATTGCACTTCACGGGTGGCCTAGTGTAGAGCATTCCCCTGAAGTTCACCCTGTACCCATGTCACTGAAGTCCTCCTCTTTTGAAACCATCCTCCTGGTACGAGGGGAAAGACAAATACCACTGAGCTCTCTGGATACCCTGAGGGCAACACGCAGATGAGGAATTTTAATGGCAAGGGCCAGGCTGGTGGTATTCCTGCAATGGCAATGCCTATAGGGATGATACTGGGATGATGTAGTTGGGGCTGGTCCTGCTTGGAGCAGCGGGTTGGACTAGATGTGACCTCTTGAGGTCCCTGCCAACCCAAATTTTCTATGCGTCTATGAAATGAGCATCTTAAATTCGAAGGGGGCAGGAGCGGAGGCCGAGTACCGGCACGGCAGGACCAGAAGCAAGCCAGTGTCGAACACGGAGGAAAGTGCCTGCTTGAATTGCAGCAGGAGCTCGTGGCTTTGCTGATGGGCTGTGTCGTCTTTGCTGTCTTGCAGAATCCTTCACAGCCGACCATAAGCCTCTCATGGGGGAAGCGCCAGAAGTCCGGGGCTTTTTCCTCGGTTGTGGCTTCAACAGTGCAGGTAAGATAAGACCTTTAAAAAAAAAAAAAAAAAATCCAAGTGCCTGCCTTTAGCCCAGTGGACTTTGTGGGGTGTGGAATCAAGGCCATTGTAAAATACTTCTGGCTTGAGGCAATAAGGGCTTAATCTTGCCATCACTTCCCAGGAAAGGCTCCTGTCATCCTCAGCAGGGATTTGCATGTACGGCAGATTCGGAGCAACTCAAATAGCATCTCTGAGTCACCAGCACCCCTCTCTCCTTTCTCTTCTCCCTCAGGAATGATGCTCGGAGGTGGCTGCGGGAAGGAATTAGCCCACTGGATTATTCACGGGCGTCCTGAAAAGGATATGTACAGCTATGATATCAGGCACGTATTCCCACCCCAAGCCTTGTGTCCCTGTTAAATGCTGTAAATGCATTTGAAAGGAAACTGTGTGTTTAGGAGAAGAGTTCTGCTCTGGTTTGGTTGAAAGGGTCTCGTCTTTCCGGCGGGGGGCTGGGAGCTGCATCTCCACCTGGGTGAGCTGGGCTAGAAATGCCTCCCGTCGTTACTGGGAGATGGTAGGACGTAGTGAAGCTCAACCAGAGGACGGCTTCATTGTGCTAGGCATGGTACAAATTCCTGGCAAGAGGCAGTATTTGCTCCAAAGAGCTTGCAATCTAGATAGAAGAGATAGATGAAGAGTAAGGGAAAGGCAGCACTGGATTCCCTTTCTGCAGAGATGGTGAATCGTGGCCCAAGGCCACGCGCAGAACCCGAGCCGGAGCAAGGACCTGAACCCACATCTCCACTCAGCGTCTTCATCGGTGGATGCAAAACGCTTTATGGAGAATCCCGTTCTTCTTTGCCAGGGTGGTCGGCTTTAGAGATGGGTGCGAGCACTCACCAGTAACAGGCGTGCTTGAAGTGTGTGACTCCCAGCTCATGGGGCAGGCTTATCTTAAACATAATGAATTTGGCGCTCTTGTTGTTTGTCCCTCCTGGCCTTTGTGAATTCGGAGCTCGCTGGGTCACGTGCCCATGCTCGTCTCTGAAACCAGGAAGGCTGGCATCGTGGGATCTGACTGAAAGCTCAGATGCTCGTGTGCTCGTGTGGTTCGAAAAGGTTGGGGCTTTAAAGGAGGCACTGATGATTGTGAGAGTTTGCAGCACTGCTTGGTGAGAATAGCCCTTTGGTGCCGCTGTCGTAGCCCTAATTGCAAGCACCTCTGAACTGTCAGGGCCTTTGGCAATCCAGTTGTGCACATGGTGGTTTGGGCCACTAGGCCATTTAGGCCCAAGAGGCAGCGTGCTGTGCCTTGCTCTGTATCCAGAAGGACAGAAATGCATCCCTTGCACCCCATAAGAAGTGGGGGCTTTGTCTGTGCAGGCAAGGAGAGGCGGTCATATCAGGGGCCTCTCCCGGTGCTGATAATGCGTGTGCTGTGTTCCCACTGCTGAGAGGTTTCTGATGGGGGTGGAGGAGTTAGAGCTTGACTCAAAGTAAGGAAACAGCTTCCCAAAAAAACCCCCTTCCCAAGGTGATATCCTGGGTCTGGCCTCAATGCCAGGGTCTTCCCATCTCCCTGCGGTGCAGCCAGGTGGGACGCAGAGCGGCACGTTGGGAACAGAGAAGTTTCCTACCAGTTATAAACAGCGAGATAGTTGGCTTGGTGCTGGCGCCAACTGCAGATTGCATTCCTGGGGCTGCATCCGTTTCAGGATTCGGGGTCTGGGGTCTGTCCCGATGCTTGGACAGGTGGAGGAACGTGGTACTAAGAGCAACCCAAAGGCTCTTCCTGCCCCTTACCTTCACCCGAGTTTCACACCCTTTGGCATCTGAGAGCCAGGGTCCAACCTCAAACACAGCAGGGTGGTGTACTGCAGAGAGCACTGGACTGGGACACTTATTTCCAGCTCTCACGTTGACCTGCTGAATGATCCAGCTCTGTGCCTCAGTTTCCCCATGGGTAAAATGGGGACCAGTGATACCGACCGGCCTACTGATTAAGGTGAGGTGTTGTTATGGGTCATATGGTTACTCCAGGTAGATTGTACCTGCCTCTGACAGCATGGGTTGTTCTCTATTATGGCTCGTCTAGCTTCTCAGATCAGTAGTCTCACGCTGTGGGATTGAGAGCCGAGAGAGCAAGGCCCTGGAGCGAATGGCTGGGAGCTGCTTGCTTTCAGGCTGTGCTGTAACCACACTGGGACCATTACTGCTAACACAGTTTTGCTTGCACTGGATCTCAGGCAGAACTGGGTGTCCGGGGCGGACAATGTCACTTCTTCTCTGAATGCAGGGCTGGTCTCTCTGCAGCTGCCTCCCTCTCGGAGGAGCTGGAATCAATTACGCTTAATAGCTGTAATGAATTTACGTGTTGGTTTTATCTCATTTCCCTCACTCCGTTTCCGTGCAAACAGCTTCCATCAGACACGAGGAGATTGTAATGACGAGAGAGGACGGGGTAATTGCATTTGGGTTTTGTTGTTGTTCAATTAGCGCCGTGCCTAGTCCTCTAAGTTAATAATCGAGGTGAAGATTTCAATTGGAGAAAGATGATCTTTTCCCCCCTACGCCTCCTGCAGTGTGATGGGGCCGGGAGGCTTGCAACGTGCCGACGCTGGCTCCGTAATCACTGTTTCTTTCTCCGTCAGGTTTTCTTGGGTTTGGGTTTTCACAGGTGCAATGCCAACAGCAACTTGTCAGAGGCAAAGCTCTTCAAATCGCATCGCAATATGAGGAAGCCCAGCAGAAACTCCTGCAACCAGGCAAATGCCGTCCGCCCCTTCTTCCAGTAGGGGCCAGTAGAAAGACGTCCTGTGTCATATTCGGTGCCTCGGGATTTTGCGGCTCCCTGATGAAAGGGGCTGCTAGGTTGGACCCTGCTGCAATGTTGCAAGAGGAGCGACATGCAAGCAAAAAGCTTTGTGAGGTTGGAGATCCAGAACGGAGCATTGCAGCTTTGTTCCCGCTCTGCCACTCTGAGATTTTGGAGTGCCCAGACGGCCATAAACTGGCGGCCCGTCCTATCGGCCTGTACTCCCACCCTCACAAGCCCACCTCTCAATCTCGTGCTGGGTGAACGGGACAGCCACCTAACCCTGAGGCTGCTTTTCAACAAGGCTGGCCTTCGCCTTCTTGTGTTGCATTCTTCCCCATCGGGGACATTACTGACATGATATACGGTCTGCCAGCAATGCTGGTGTTTTCCCAGTTTGCATCTACTGGAGGGAAACTCCCGATCCAGAAGAGGGGTCAGTGCTTTGGCAAAGGCCATAGGAGAAGCCTGTATCAGAGTGAGGAGCATGAGTTAAGAAACCCCAGATTCATGGTCCTGTATCTCAACTCACTCCTCCTTCCCCTCTCCATGGTGCATCTTTATTTGTTCTTGCTGTCCTCGTTCCCCTCTCGTGCAATGCTCTTCTTGCAAACTGCAGGCGTCCATCTGCCACCATCCTATGGTGAGGAGCTACATCTCCACCTGAGGTTCCTATGTTGTCTTATGAGTGCCTTATAACAGCTCCTGGATGGAGTCTGGGCCTCAGCAGGGCATGTGATTCACATCCAAGCTTTCTGGGCTCTGGCAGGTTCAGGTTTGCTGAAGATGCTGTCTTTGCTCTTTATGGATTTAAGTTCTGGCCTTTATCTCCTCCTCATCCTCCCAGTCCCTTGGTGGACAGCTGCCTGCTCAGACATCTGTGTCTATATGTTAGCAGCAACGGAAAGAGTAAGCAGAAACATTTAGACATAGTAATAATTAATCCAGCATCACAGACAGCAGCTTTCATCTCGATAGATCCCCTGGCACTTTACCGCATCCCCATCTGTGACGTCACGTAACTCTTTTGGCTTTGGGGGAGCTACGTGGAGGATGAGTTTTCCACAACGTGCATATGTGTCCGTGCATCACTTCACCCACCACTGATGTAAAGCCACAACTGGGTGAAAGGGGGTAGGTGTTCGAACATCCACAACGATGCTGCACAGGAAGCAAAGAATAGCACAGCTGCCCGAGTAAGAAGAAGAGAAAAAGGGCAAATAGCTTATTTGTTGGCTCTCTGGATGATGCAAAAAGTCAGAGAGAAAGGACACATTTTGGTTCAGCTCAAAACAAAACGTATCTGTTTTTTGCTCCTAAAAGGAAAACCCATTTTGTTTCTACTCACCCCCACCCCTTTTCTTTTCTTTTCTTTTCTTTTCAAACATTAAATACAGCTAATTAGTGAAACAAGCAATAGGCATGTTTTAGGCAGACAAAGTTCTTTGGGTAGACGTGACATCTTTTATTAGACCAACTAAACCATTAGAAAAATTGTTCTTTGTAAGCTTTCTGGCACAAACACCCTTCTTCAGGTATAGGGGGAGAGAGAGTGAGCCTGAAGAAGGGCGTTTGTGCCCGAAACCTTGCAAAAAATTTTTTTCCAACTATTGAGTTGTTCTAATAAAAGATCTCATGTCTACCCAAAGAACCTTGTCTGCCTCTGTCCTTAGACCAACACGGCTACAACGAACAACCCTAAAGCATGGAAATGTTTTGGCAGTTGAAAAAAATCAACGTAGTTCTTTTGTTTTTGGCCCAGTTTGATCCATTCTAACTAATGTGATGCAAACTCACAGTTCACTTTTATGAACTCAAATATTCATAGCTTGTGCTGAGAGAAATGTCTGAAGTAAAGCACAATTACCCCACGTTTTGGGTGGGGGGGAGCAGACCAGGGCAGGCTTTGTGTGGAGCTCCTGCGGGTCTTCTGCAGACTGCGCCTACTTGCTCTGTGCCGGTTTCTGTCTCTGCCAGCTGGTTCCCCAGCCCTTTGCTTGGCTTCTTTGTGTTTTCTGGGTTTCAGACCTGGGTTAATATTTGCTTCTGCTGCGGATCTCATCGTTCCTCTTCTTACTAAGTTTCTCTTCCAATATCTCCCTTTTCCACACGTGCAAACATGGCTCGTTTCACGATGCTCGCTGGTAAATATTTCACCTGGCAGCTGTTACTGCTCTTGTTTCTATCACAAATCCACCCTCCTGCTCAATGGACTGGGGCTTTTGAAGGCAGCAGCTGGGGGAGCTGCACATGCGATTGAATACACGCTAATTAGCCGGGTCTCCAGACCAGGGAGCAGACCTGCCTGACATCCACGATTGCTTTCGGTCTTTT